GAGCGGACAGGGCTGGGGGAGGGGGGGAGAAACACACGGCCATTCAGGAGCAGCCCCCAGGCCCAAAGGAGAGCTGGCCACCACAGATGGTCCTCGACTTACAACGGTTCACTCACTAACCAGTCAAAGTTACAACAGCACTGGAAAAATGACGTTTTTCACACTTACGACCACTGCAGCAGGGTCACCCCAGGGTCACGTGATCCAAACTCAGCCGCTCAGCCACTGACTCGTACTTATGACGGTCGCAGCGTCCTGAGGTCACGTGACCCCCTTTTGCAGCAAGCCCCTCCCACATCAATGGGGAAGTCGGATTCACTTAACGACCTGCGGCTAACACAACCCCTGCAGCGACCCCCTTTGACCAACGTGGCAAGGACGGTCGTAAAAGGAGGCAAAGCTCACGTCGCACAGGCCTCACTTAGCAACAGGAACCGTTCGATGGTGGGCGTTAAGTGGAGGACTACCTGCACGCAGAGGAGATATTCCTTCCTTGGGCAGCCAAGCACCCCATGGAAGCCTGTGGTGGAACTGCTGGGGGGTCTTATGGGAGGCCCCCCACCCCCTTTTTCTCCAGATCCGAGTAAAGGTGCGTCCAGGGGAGGCCGAAGCCCTGGCTAGCAGGCCCCCCCGTTGGGCCCGTGGGGGGCTGACCCAGAGAGAGGACCGGGGGAGGCCAGGCGGCCACACTCACCCGCGACTCCAGAGGGTAGCAGGTCTTCAGGTGAGGCGGGCAGATGCGGTTGCGCTGCTGAAGCTCCGCGATGCGGTTCCAGCCGTCCAGCTGCTCCGGCTCATCGTCGCAGGAGCCGGCATAGAAGCTGCTGCGGCCTGCAAAAAGGGGGGGGGGGGAAGGAGGAGAGGCAGGGCGTGGATGGACAGGTTTTCCTACGGGGCTCCGAATCCCCCCCAAGGGGGGAGAGCAACCGGGGAGGCGGGATTGCGAGGCTGGGGGCGGCTCCCTAGAGCAGCTTCCTGCAAGTGTGTGTGTGTGTGTGTGTTTGTGTGTGTGTGTGTATGTGTGTGTGTGTCGGTGTATGTATGTCCACCTGACACTAGGAAGTCAAATCCCCAGAGTGGCCTTTCTCAAGCAGGCCCGCTTTAAGATAGATGGACTTCAACTCCCAGAATTCAGCAGGGCTGGCTGGGGAATTCTGGGAGTTGAAGTCCGCAGATCTTAAAGCAGAGGCCTTCAAACCTGGCCACTTTTAAGACTTCTGGACTTCAACTCCCAGAATTCCCCAGCCAGCAGAACTGGTTGAAGTCCACAAGCAGGGCTGGCTGGGGAATTCTGGGAGTTGAAGTCCAGAAGTCTTAAAAGTGGCCGGATTTGGGGAGCCTTGTCTTAAAAGCAACCAAGGTTGTAAAGTACGGATTCAGCTGGTTCTGATGGGGGATTTGGATAAAGGAGGGGGGTCTCTAAACGTGGCAACTTGAAGGCTTGTGGACCCCAACTCCCCAGAATTCCCCAGCCAGCAGGGCTGCTTGGGAGCTGAAGACCCCAAATCTTAAAAGTTGCCAAAGGTTGGAGACGCCTGGGATGAGGTCACGGAGGAGCTTTGGATCTTGGTCAAGAGAAGCCTCTCAGATCAAGGGGGGTGGGGGAGTGGGCAGAGAACCCCCGTCTCTCACAGCACCCTGAAGACCAGGGTCCCCCCTCCCTTCCCAAGGAGGCGGGATCCACACCCCGTGTGCCCCCCACCCTCTCTCACCGGTGTTTGCAGCCCCGCCTTGGGAGTGTCTGAGAGAACTGCGTGTGGCGGGTCGGTAGCCAGGCAGGCTCTTCAGGGCAGCGTGGCCAGAGGCGCCGTCGGGAGAAGAGGCGGCCAGCCTGACGAGGGACTCCTGGGAGGGGAGGCTGGCCAGTGAGCGGGCGGAGGAGGAGGAAGCCGCTGCCGAACGCAGGTGGCTCTTGACCGAATCCTGGCCGCTGCCTCCTGAGCCGGAGGACCGCAGGCTGACGAAAGACTCGTTGGTGCTGTCCAGCGGCTCCAGCTTCGGGTGTTTCTGGCGAAGGACACAAAACGGGGTGATGCCACACTCAAAGGGGCAGAGGAGACAGCAGTAGCAATAGCAGTTAGACTTATATACCGCTTCCTAGGGCTTTCAGCCCTCTCTAAGNCTCGGAGTCTGAACCCTGTCCAGGGTCCTCCACATCTTCCAGAGCCGACTCATAGGTTCCCTCGCTATCGGAGTCTGTTTGCAGCTCCAACGGCTTCTGCTGGGCCACAACAGTAATCGTTGTTAACTGTTGTTAAATGAATCTGGCTTCCCCATTGGCTGTTTGTCAGATGGCCATAAAAGCTGATCACATGACCCCAGGACATTGCAACTGTCATAAGTACATGCCAGTTGCCAAACATTTGGATTTTGTTCACATGACCACAGGGATGCTGCGGAAGTTGTAAGTGTGAAAAATGGTCATAAGTCACTTTTTTTCAGTGCTGTTGTAACTTTGAACGAATGAAAGATTGTAAGTCTGTAGCAAGTTGTATGTGTGTGTATTGTGCAGCGTCTGGAACGCACGAGATATCCAAAACTGTATTTCCCAAAAATATTTCAGAGATTCAAAGGCTGTGCAGGCAACACTCCTATATTTTGAAAAACCAATACTTGTATTGCTGTTTATATTAAATTCACAATGAAGAGAACAATAACATAAAAATCATTTTTAACAAAAAAAAACTTGTTCCAACTCGCAAATCAGGAACAGTCCACGCGAAGCCCAACAGTTAGAAACCTAATTTTCTTTAACTCCCGACTCAATATTTGTAGAGCAACTTTATCCATTTTTTAATTTTTGTTTCGGTAATTGTAATTCCAAGAAGCACACATTTAAGATTTCAGAGGAACCTTGTTTAATCTCTATTCACCTCAGTGTCAAATTGCTTTTCAGACTTCCTATATGCACTGTTATATATTGATTCACATTCTGGTAATTTTTATACCTTCAGAATAAGGGGATTATAATTATAAAGAAGGCTACTTTTATTGTCTTCGGATATTCTGCCCCAAAGAATATTTAAAACAGACTTCCAGCTTATGCCACATACTTTTGATGACTGTGTACATCAGTCTTTTTCAAGCAAGTTCATTTCTATCACTGTTCAGAGATAGACGTAAAGTCTGAAATCTTTTCACCTAGGATGAGAGATAGTGAAGATATGAGGGCAAAGGAAAAAGAAACAAGAATTTGTAAACTAATACATAGAAGCTACACTTAAATAGTTCACTGATATGGGAAGAAAGAGGATAGAAATATGAACACAAATCTACTGCTACTCCAAATGCCTATATTATTTACCATAAATGTTGGGAACGAAATCCAGACCCACTTGCACCTTAGCAGCTGGCATCATCTAATAACACGTGAATGAAAAGAAGGAAAATAGGAAGAATCAAAACTGATTTGTAATTGGATGGGAGAAGGGGTGGGCTGCTCTGGATTCAGGTGATCTTCTATTGAAGATTCTGTGCGGTTTGTCGAACCCCCAAACCCCATTCCTGGCTGGCCCTGCCGCCACTCTCCTCCCAGGAGTCTCCACACCAGTGATGGGTTCCTACCAGTTCGGACCAGTTCGGCTGAACCGGTAGTAACTTGATGGCCTGGGTCTCTGGAACAGCAGTGACCCAGACCTGCCACCCCCACAAAACCAGTTCTCCTGCATGCGCAGAATCCTTTTTGTTGTATTGTGCATGTGCAAGTGGGGTGCGTCCCTTAGCGAACCAGTAATAGTGGTTGCCAGAACCCACCCCTGCTCCATATGGACTGCTTTTTATGTCAGGTAAGTGCAGGGCCCACACAGAGGCTCAGTGAGAGTGAAAGGTGGCGCTCCCAGAGGCTCCGGAAGGCTGGAAAAATGGGCCCTTTTTGGGCCTGCAGAGATCCTCCGGAGCCTGAGGAGAGTAAAAACATCTCCTCTGCCGTAGTTCAGGAGAACAACTAGGCTATACCCACTATGGCCATGCCCACCCAGCAACCGGGCAGAGAACCCATTGCTAAAATTTTTGAAGCCCACCCCTGGATGGAAGACAATAGAAGGCCCAGTTTTTCGGGCTAGCCTGGAAAATAAAATACTAAGTAAAAAATCTCATTAGGATTTATTAACTCCTACTCTATATTTAGATATGTGTTCTGTGTTTAATGTAGATGTGCATTTGTGTGTGTGTATGGCATTTGAGATATTTGCGAAGAGGATTGGAGTGTACCAGATACTCTTTAATTTACTCAAGGTGGAAATAATGGCAGTCCCTTGTTCAAACTTGTCCAGTTTTAATTGGTTCCTTGTTCAAAATTATGCAATGTACAATAAATAAGGTATATTGGCCTAGAAATCAAGAGACTGTGAGTTCTACTCCTGCCTTAGGCAAGAAAAATCAGCTTGGTGGCTTCGGCCAAATCACTCTCTGTCAGCCCAACTCATCTTGTAGGATTGTTGCTGTGGGAAAAACAGGAGAGAAAGGAGTATTGATATATTCTCCTGCCTTGAGTTGCATATTTTAAAAAGGGATTATAATCTTTTTTTAAAAAAAAAATCAAAACACTTGTCACTTTGAAAAAAAGAATGAAAAGAAGAGGAAGAGGAATATTGAATTTGCCGTTTTCCATAAAACTGGAATGATTGATATAATCAGACAGCCATTGTTTTCATCCAATGAAAGTATCTTAGGGCCTTTGTAAATAGTAGATAATATCTTAGGGACAGTACCTTAAGATAGGCGACTTTTAATAACCATAAGCAAACAGAACACACAGATCCAACAAAACCACTTCTAGGAATGCAGCTGTCCTTAAAAATATGGAGCCACCTGAATAGAATCAGGACAGGCAAAGTGGGGAATTGAAATGTATTTGAATTTTAGTAGCTCAGGTTGGTTTGGGCTGTTGGTTTGAGCTCTCAGCTTGGCAGTTTGGTTGCAAACGTTTTGTCACCTTTCGAGGAAACATTTTCAGTGCACTTTGAATTGTCACTCAAGCTCGGAGCTCAAACCACCAGCCCAAATTGGGGAATGGCCAAGAGCCCGCAATGAAACTGTGGTAAACTGGTACAAACTATAACACATATAGTTCAAGAATGTCCCCTCAGGAATGTCCCTTCAGGAAAGGCGCCTGGGATGATCTCACCGCAGCCACACCAGAAGCAGTTAGATGGTTAACTTCCTTAAATGTCAAATTATAACATCTATCCCGTTGCAATTCCTAACAGTGAGAATAATTAACCAGTGGAACAGCTTGCCTTCAGAAGTTGTAGGTGCTTCATCACTGTAGATTTTTTAAAAAGAATCGAAAGCCACCTGTCTGAAATGGTATAGGACAGTGATGGCTAAACTTTTCCAGACCCAATGCCCAAAGCGCATGCTCAAACCCCCAAAATGCAATGATATGTGCACACACCCATCCCCATGCATGCACCCCTCCTCCCATGCATACACACACATGCCCCCCCACCTGCGCAGGAGCATCCGCACACAATTCGCCATGTATGTGCGGCAGAGACCTGACGCTCAGCTGGCCAGTGGGAAGCACGCACGCATGCGCGGCAGAGTTGAACTAGGGTGACAACTCACGTGCCCACAGAGAGGGCACTGCATGCTACCTGTGGCATATGTGCCATATGTTCGCCATCACTGGCATCTTGCTTGAACAGGGGATTGGACTAGAAGACTTCCAGATCCCTTCCAACTCTGTTCTGATTGATAATGCCTCCCTTCACTGTTTTCCATCTGCCCTGTACAGAAATATGATTATCTATTTCACTGGCTTATGGGCTACAACTTCATTTAAGGAAAAGATTAATTAGTTTATTTCTTACGCCTGTTATTTTATACTCTCAACTCCAACTGTCACTTTCTGTTCATCTACAGAGAGATATTATCATTCATCAATACCGTTTCTTGCTTCTTTTTTCCTCAAAACCCCTCAACATCTCTGCCTAAAATTGCCCATTAGTTCTCAAGATAGGATTAATGTTCATTTTGTAAACATTGTGTCTCAAAACAACGGTTATGTTTTAAAACATTGGATTTTCTTTAAAATGCTGCTCTAATTTTCTGGCATTACTATCAACCCACAATAATAATCTGACTTTGTGAAATATGTGTTCTATTTGGCAAAAGATACAGACATTATGAAGACATATTTAAAGGTAGGTTAATTGAAAATCCCAGCATCCATATATATTCAACACAGGGAAAATGTGTTGAATTATATTTTCTGATTTATAGTATCTGGTAGGAAAATGGGGCTCCAGAGTTTGGAGGGAGGGAAGGAGGGAGGGAGGGAAGGAGAGAGAGAGAGAGAGAGAGAGAAAGAGAGAGAGAGATTTCTGTATTCATTTAAATTGAATTTCTCATTCATGCTTAATTATTGCTCCTTCAGAAGGATACTGTGTAGATGAGAATACCCTAATAGGATTTTAATTAACAATTAGGTGACATTTTCTCTAGAGAGTCATAAAAACAAATCCACTGGTTGGAGTTTTATGGTCCTGAATATGGCTGTATATGTGTTGTTGTTTTTTTAAATAACATCAATATTTATTTGTGAATGAATGAATGAATGAATGAANAAGGAACGGGAGGCAGGAACAGGCAGGAACTGAGGGGAAAGCCTGGGCGCTGGGGAGGGAAACTGCTCAGATGGTGGAACAGACGGGAGGCAGGAACAGGCAGGAACTGAGGAGAAAGCCTGGGCGCTGGGGAGGGAAACTGCTCCATATATAAAGCGCACCGGGTTATAAGCCGCACTGCCGGTTTTTGATCAAATTTTAGGATTTTCAGTGCGGCTTATAGTTGTGAAAATACGGTAGATTGAGCCTGAAGCCTATTGAATGATTGGTATTTTACTCATTTGGCTGGAATAGTATATAGGCAGTTGGTTTCGTAAAATGCATGATTTTGCTGAAACTGAAGATACCGTTGAAATTAAATATTTCAGCCGAAAGACATAGTATGCAAGTCTCCTCCTCACCCCCCATTTCCACCAATAAATCATATTCCCTATTTGGGAAGTGGATGGTTTCCCTTGCTCCAAAGATCAGGCTCCTGTAGGAGATAAAGGGGCAGACACTTTTAAAACCATAAATAATTTAAACCTGTTGTGGACTTGGTTGCTAAGAACTGCCTCTTGACTACAAAAACAATTACTGTATTTTTCAGAGTATAAGATGCACTTTTTTCCTTCAAAAAGAGGCTGAAAATCTGGGTGTGTCTTATACACTGAATACAGCATTTTCTTTCCTCCAGAAACCCCACCCCTTCACCAGAATGGCTGTGCATAGCCTTTAGGAGGCTTCCAGAGTGCTTCTTGGGGCTGGGAAGGGCAGAAATGAGTGAAAAATGGGCCGTTTTTTGCTCACTTTCCCTCCCCCCCCCAATACCCCAGGAGCACTCTTTGCCTCCTAAAGGCTATTCATGCCCCCTTTTTTGAAAAAAACGGGGCAGTTTTGTGAAAAACAGGACATTTTTGGGAAGTCTGCAGAGTGGAAAAACTTTTAATTTGCCTCTTCAAAATCTTGATGTGTCTTATACTCTGGTGTGTCTTATACTCTGAAAAATATTGCAATTTTTGGTCAGTTACTAAATATCATTCAAAAAGTAGATGTACTTAAGGCTATAGTGGAAAAAATAACATGCAACTTCATTTGTCATGTTACCAACCCAGTTGCTCCAGCACATACATATTTATTTACTTATTTAGTTTGTCAAACATATACAAGATAACAGGTATAAGTATAAACATGGAGATCAACACAGGAAATGAGTATGAATAAATAGGGACAGTAGGACAAGGAGGGTAGGCATGCTGGTGTGCTTATGCTCCCTTTACGGATCTCTTAGGAATGGGGTGAGGTCCACGGTAGACAGTTTGAGGTTGAAGCTGTGGAGGTTTGAGGATATAATAAGAGAGTCAGGTAGAGCATTCCAGGCATAGACCACTCTGTTGCTGAAGTCATATTTTCTGCAATTGAGTTTGGAGAGGTTTATCTTGAGTTTGTATCGATTGTTTGCCCGTGTGTTATTGCGTTTGAAGCACAAGACTTCACTAGGTGCAAAATAGATGAGGAGTACAAGTCCCTCTCACAACAGCTTCACCACAGTATCTTCCACCAAATTTACTCAAATCTCTTGGCTTCCTAGATGGAAACATTTTGAGAGAATGTTGGCTTTTAGGCATCTTTAGTTAGAGTGCAGTACTACAGGCTACTTCAGCTGCCTGCTGGCTTCCTGCAATTTGGCAGTTCAAATCTCATCGGGCTCAAGGTTGACTCAACCTTTTATCTTTTCAAGGCTGGTAAAATGAGGACCCAGATTGTTGGGGGCCATATGCTGACTCTAAACTGCTTAGAGAGGGCTGTAAAAGCACTGTAAAGCAGCATATAAGTCTAAGTGCTATTGCTATCTTGCACTCTCTTCAATGATCCTTAAATGCAAACATTTCCAAGGGGATTTCAAAGTACATATAAATATTTTTCACAATAGCAGTGTACGGCTTCTGCTGAATCCTGGGAGCAGAGTCAAGGTCACAAGAGCAGATAGCATAAGCTCCAGAGATTATAACCAGTCAGCAACTATCTGTACAGCAGAATGCTCACGACCTTCCCAATGTCCTTGATCTAATTAAAGGGAAGATACAGGCATCGTCTGATCCCATGGAAGATGAATAAGGCCTAGCTCAGTTGTTCAGCATCCTGTCCATAGAAGACTGACAATCATGCAAACTTGAAGTTAAAGCAGTGTCTGTTGCAAATGACTCTTTCAAAACTTTGCTACCCTCCAGGTGTCTTCCTGTTAAAAATTTGACAGACTTATTTCATAAATGCCTAAAACAAACAAAAAAAAAGGCACCCCAAATTCATCCAGGCAAAAGAAGGCAACACCAAAGTGATCAACGCAACCTCTTTATAACCTCCCAGATGCAATCTTTTCTTACAAGTCAAGAACAGATCAGTCAAACTATAGCCCCACTTCTCCAGCCTTCCCCTGCTTGGATCCTTAACTGGCAGCAGGGGGTCTGTTCTCCATCTTCTTCCTCAGTCTCTAAACTTCTTAGGGCAAGTGTTGTTTTTTGTGATCATTTAGCTAGAGACGGCAGCCTGAGAAAATCGGCCAAATGACAACCACATCCTGCTAATGTTTGTTTGTTTATTTATAAAATTTATGTGCCGCCCAATCCCAAAGGACTCCGGGCGGCTTACAGAAAAGAGAAAAGAAAAAAAAACACATAACGAACACATAACGAAAGTAAACAGTTTAAAATAGCAACACCTCATACATTCATTCTAATTGGGGCTGGACCTCAACAGTGAGGTCAACAGCCTCAGGCCTGCCGGAACAGCCAAGTTTTAACAGCTTTCCTGAAGGCCATGAGAGTGAGTATGGTCCGGATCTCTGGGGGTAGCTGATTCCAAAGAGTCGGAACAGCCACAGAGAAGGCTCTTCTCCGGGGGCCCGCCAGCCAACACTGTCTGGCTGACAGCATCCGAAGGGAGGCCCAATCTGTGGGATCTTACTGGCCGCTGGGAGGTATGTGGCAGTAGGCGGTCTCGAAGGTACTCTG